CAACACATGGAAACATGTCAAGGAAGACTAATCCAAATCAGATGCCCAAATACCCCTGAAATGAGTCAGGCCCTAGTCTGAATTTCCCCTTGTATTCAATTCCTTTGCCTACCATGACAGGAAATGAGACTGTGTGGTACAGATGTATGATAAAACATGAAAAGGATATTTGTATGTGAGTAAGTTCTGTTGCCACATTGGGGTATGGCAGCAGACAGGGGGTCAGGAGTGTAACCACCTGAACACTCAGATCCCCAAAGAGGCCCTGCTCCATGGTTTGTGGTGGGATGCTGAGTGGCAACCTGCCTCCTATAGCAGGGTGTCCTCTCACACACCAGCACCCTTTCTTCACACAGCACGGAGGCCTTTAAATTCAAGGGGAGAAGAGAAAATCAGACGGATCAATAGAAGGCACTTATTCCGGTCAAACCTTTAAAAGCGGCATTACTGACGGTGCAGAACAGGTGACGTCCAGGGTCAGTAACAGTTGGTCCGCCAGTGCAACTCTTCTCTTGACCTTGACACTGCAAGAACGCAAGATGACTATGTCAGCAGTTCATAAAACAGAGACGGATATTTCCATTCCTTTTTAATTTACAATCCAGACTCCACTCAAGAGGGTTTAGCACAGTCAGCCTTTTGTCTTGTTTTTATGTTTTTACTCCAAGACAAACCACTCGAGGCAGTTACGATGATCTACGGCAATACTCTTTTGCTTCAACTTTTTTATATTGCAGTTACTTTTTAAACTTACTCAAAAATAATTAGCTAAATTCTGTTTATGAAGTGAGATCCTTAATGAACCAAAAGCAAAGTCATTAATTGTGAGATGCTCTAACAAGAGGGAGGCTTTCAAAAACAGAAGCTATGATATACATCGATGCACTCGTACCTAAATTCCCGCAGCGAGGCCTCCTGGTTGATTTTGAGTTTGAGGTGGATTTGTATCTATGAAAAATAAGAAAGATGTAAACTTTTTTTTGCTTGAAGCTTAACATGTAACTCGAGATGGGGAAACAGATCTGTTCATACCCCGGCATTAGCCAAAGTGAATGTGCGCAGGAATGCCTCTAGATGGGCTTGCCACTCTGAAGTGCAGTGTCTTGTGTCTTTTACCTGTACATTGCAAGTTATTTTAAAAAACATGTGACTCACACTACTTGTGTTACGACTGAAAAACAAGAAAAATGCATTTTAGAATTCATCTGGGTTGTTTTTCTACCTGAAAAGATAGAAGGAATCTGAGGGAACCATACAGATCTGTGAAGGCACTCAGCTCCTCAGGGTCAGGCTCATTACATGGCCACACACAGGGACACATGCTCTCTTTCAAACGGACAAGGGCTGATGTAGCAAGAAAAGAGACGATGTAATGCACAGAGGTTCCAGTTATGTGTATATGTCTATATTTGTGTGTACATACCAGGTTGGAGGGCTTCCATTTGAATCCCTGCACACCAGGGGCCAGCCGCTGCAACTGTGCAATTAACTGGATCAATACAACAAAACATTAGCCTTTGTTCCAGGAGCTGCTGGGACAACTAGCTTCCTGTTAGTTATCTTTATGCTGCAGTAAATTTAGATGGAGGCACTAACAGTAATTGTTCAGTAATAAATTATTGGTAACCAATTAATCATCTATTGATAAAATGTTATTCACCATATCCTGAAGAATAAGTTAATCTATGTAGAGACTTAACATTTATGATATAATTTATAGCTTTAATTGATACAATAAAAATCCATTGAAGTTTTATTTTAAGTTACCGTATTTCCCGGACTACAAAGCGCACCTGAATATTAGCCGCACAAGCTAAAATCAGGGGAAATCCTGTTTTGTACATACATTAGCCGCACCTGACTAAAGGCCGCAGGTGTTTCAATGTTGACTTATCATATGTAAGAGAATATGCACAAAGGGAATTGTCAGGAAAGAGATGGCTGTTTGGAGACACACCCCTTTTATTAATATTTTGAAAAACAAGTTATGGGTACATATTTGCACAACTTTTTAGGGAGGTCAGCAGTGATCACTGACTGTTTTAGGAGCTTTTTGAGATCAAATAGAAGAAAATACATAACATTAAACATGTTAACAACACAAAAGCCATATTAAACGCAGACTACTTTAGACCCGGAAGTAGGATTCGTCGCGTCATCACTGAACAACCGGATAGGCAATAAGGATCCCAAAGCGTGCCAAGAAAATATCCCCCCACAAAAAATGAACCACCAGCAGCCTGAACTGATGATACAAGACCGGATGGATTCATGCTTTCATGCTGTTTACACTAAATTGTGACCATAACACCCAAGTATTGCAGGATAAACTGTGACTCATCAGACCAGGCATCTTTTCCAATCTTCTACTTCTAATTTTAGTAAGCCTGTGTGATTTGTAGCCTCAATTTCTTGTTCTTAGCTGGCACCCTGTGTGGTCTACTGTGGCTGTAGCCCATCTGCTTCAAGGTTGGGCAAGACAACTGCCACTCACCTCATATTTTCCTTTTTTTGGACCGTTTTCAGTAAACCATAGAGATGACTGTGTGAGAAAATACCAGCAATTCAGCAGAAATACTCAGACCCGCCCCGCCGGCATCAACAATCATACCAACTCATTCTTTATCCTGAGGCTCATCTTGAACTTCAGCATAGTCATCGTGACCATGTTTACTTACCTAAATAAATTCAACTGCTGCTATTTGATTGCCATCAGACATTTGCATCAATAAGAAGTTGAATTAAGTGTCCCTGATAAAATGACCTGTAGATATTAAAATACTGCATTTTTCTAATACATGGTGTGTAAATATAAAAAAAATAACCCCTTTTATCCAAGGACATTGTCATTTTAATATTTGATCAAACCCTACCTTAATCCTCATTTGTCTCCCTGTTATGCCTCTTTTATTTGGTGCAGTCTCAGCTGCTTTGACTCACCAGTGCAGTTCAGCTTTTGTGTAGAAACTTCGGTGTCAGTCCACAAAAGCAACAAAAGCCCTCCTCCTGTCCTTAAGCCCAGCTTTTGCCTTTGCTTTCCCATTAGCATGATCAAACGCAGCACCTGGAGAGGCCATTTGAAAAAACAAACTCCTAGCTTAGCATGCTAACGCTACTTGCTAGTTAGCGTTAGCTAGTAATTTGCTAATTTGCTAGTAATTTTCATCTTTATTAATCTCTAAACCTTTTTATCCATTTTCTTTTCTACCATGAATCAGGAATAGCTATAACTTAAACAATTACCTGTTGCATTTCTTTCAGCATTTTCAGTTGTTGTCTTTGTGCTAAATCAGCAACCTAACCTAATTTAATCTGGGGTCAGAACTTTGTTCCCAATTAGGCTGTTGACTCATACCAATCCAGGAAAGCATCTGTATGTAATTTGAAAATTATTTATTATTTATTAGTTGTTTAAAATATTTGACATCATCATCATATTCATTGTAATAATAATAATAATAATAATAATAAATAATAATAACAATAATAATAATAATATTTTTTACCCAGTTTTGAACATGGTTTTTATTGGTATGTATCGTATTGCTAACTGTTTTTTAACTTACTATTTAGTTTTAATGGATTTAATTTAGTTTAATTAATTTATATCTAAGCATATAATAGGCAGTAGTTTAAAAAGTATGTTTTGGAACATTTACATTTGATCGTAAAAATGTCTATATATTTAGGCATATTAGATCATAAGAAAGTTATTTATTTATTTTTATTTTTCATAAAAAACTGTTCATATACAGTGACAAGTACTCACCTCCTTTGTAATTTCTCCGTTTTTTCCCCTACATTTGTTACACTTAACGGTTTCAGATCATCAATCAAATAATAGTAATAAAAAAAGATAACCTAAGTAATACACCACACTGTTTAAATGATTATTTCATATATGATAAAAGCTATCCAAATCCATCTGGCCCTGTGTGAAAAAAGATAAGTGCAGTATAAATCTGTTCAGCGGTTGTTCTGTCCTTGGCAGCAAGAAAAATTAAGTAACTGGAAATGAGTCTTTCACATCACCAGGGAGGAGTTTTTGGCTACTCTTCTTTGCAGAATTATTTTACCCCAGTCAAATTGGAGGGTTTGTTTTATGTTCTTTTTTATGCAATCCTGCGTTTGTTAGTTTTAGGTCAGATGTAATGGGACTCAAACCCTTCAAAAAGTTAAACATTTGTCTTATCAGTCAACAGATTATTTTCCCCAATGTTTTGCAGTTCTTTAGATATTGTTCTGGGTTCTTTTGTGACCTCCTCCATGAGTCATCGATGCACTCTTCAAGTCATTTTGGTAGGCTGGGTTCACGAGTGTGGTTCACTAGAGTCTTAAAGCCTTAGACTGACTAATCGATGTGGGTGACCATGTTTATCATCTGTGGCTGTGGCTAACCACAGTTAATTCATGATTTAACAAGGAGCTGACAATGACTTCTTCACACGGGGCCTTCTTGGTTTGGATATTTTTTCCCATAATAATTGAAATCTTTTAAAAGCTGTATTGTGTATTTAGTTCTAGTTTTAGTGTTATCTTTGCCTGATGTTAAAATGTTTTTGCAGATCTGAAACATTTAAGTGTGACAAAGAGGCATAAAACTAAAAATCAGAAAGGCGGCAAAAACCTTTCAAGGCGCTTTTCTCTGATAATGTTAGCAGAAGCTCTTAATTTTATGATGATAAATAATTATTAATGATGCAATAAAAGTCACTCTACCACTGGTACTTTGTACTGTACAGCTGTAATTTTGTGGTGTTTATCAGGCTCATTACGTGCACCTCTGTTTGCAAAGACATCATTAAGCATGTATTTATCATATCTTTTGGGATCTTGCAATATTTTTCATCCTTAAAAATGAACAAACACAACACAATTCTTTCCAAGTAAATGTAATAATTTAATTTCTTTGTAATTATTCATAAATATAAAATTCAATATTGCACAGTGTGAAAAAAATCACCAGAAGATTAAAACATCTAAATTTCACAGTTGCTGATTGGATGAAGACATATGAAACTCTCCTTTAGCGTGAATCACTTTCCTTCTTTCTTAGACCACTCGCTGTATCCACCAGTATAATTGCATGCGCTGAAATAGAGAACAGAGGTGAAAGATGTCAGAATATAAAAGCTGTTATTATTACATCATAAACATGCAGTAGAAAGCTGCACATTTTTAACAACAACAACAACAACAAAAACCAAAGATGGCTCTCTACAGTCTTAAGGACTTATTGCCTTTGTGTTAATGAAGAAGACTTGGAGTTTTTTTAATGGGCCTTGTCCATGTATGTGTGTGTATTGTGTATTATAAGCAATAAATTATTTACGTCACATATCCCAGCTGTTGGACTTTGCCGATGGCCAGTCCTGATCGCCTGCCCGTCTGGCAGGAAAACACCAGCTCTGGTGCATCCAGCTGTGGCTTCTTTATGCCATACTTGGCCTTGAATTCCTCTGGATTCATTGCAAAAGCAGTCTCCACTGTATCAACTGAAGGAATCAAAGAAGAGACGAAGGTATAAAACATGAATATGCAAATGAAAACTTAGAGAAAACGTACAGAACTTGAAAAACAATCTCACGTGGGATATTGGTGCATCCTGGAATATGTCCTTTTGCTACCTCCTCTTCACTGCGGACATCAATCAGAATGAGATTTGGGCTCTTTCCCACAAGAGCCTTCAATTCCTCATAGGAAATATCCTTGGTACCTTGAACATGGCAGAAAAAACGTTTCATCAAATTAAGTAAAACTATACCACTTTCTCTTTTAGATACAGGTTTAAGTGACAAATCATCCTGACACAAAAATGCATTATTGATGATCCTTGCCAAAGGAAACTAATTACTGTTCATGTGAAAGGTTAGATGAAATATGACACCTGCTTTACCTGTACAAAGGTACATGCAAACACACTGATAAGGAAGGATGTACTAATGCTAACCGCACTGATATCAGTGGCTACATGTCATTTGGCACGTGTAATGTAGTGATCCAGAGAGTATCTTTGCTTCATTGTTAGTGCCGCAACAATCTAGCAATAATATTCAAATACATGTACATGACCCAGCCACTTTGTTAGGTACACCTGCTCAGCTGTTCATCATCTCAAAAATTTAATTAACCTGTCACACGGCATACAAGGCTCACCAAAAATTAAATAATAGAAGAGTCATTTCAGCATGGTCCAAATTCTCTAAAACTTATTTATAGCAACTGGAATCGATACCAAGAAGAACTGAGAAAGTTCTGAAGCTAAAAGGGGGTCTTACTATCAAGGTGTACTTATTAAAGTGGCTGATGTAAATCGTCCTAGTTATTTAAACACAGTAAGATAAACAGAGTGTTGAGTTCAGCTATTAAAATAATTAGTTTCTCAATTTGGCTTTTAGTTTAAGTAGAAGATGGCCTGAAAAAGAACCTGACATTTAGCTCCCCTTTAATGCTATATTCCTTACAAGATAATTTCACTCGCATGTTGACTTGTTCTTATCATATAGTGTGATGAATATGAGCCTGTAAAATAGGAGTAAAGGTACACTGTCCTGACTGCCTGTAAAAATATGCAGATAATTATCAGCGGTTATTAAACCTGATTGTTTTTTCTTACTCGAATAACCGAGTAAGAAAAAACAATCAAGTCCTTAGGGAGACTTAAAAGCTTCCAGTTTGAGCTATTTATTGTTTGCTGAGTCATTCTTATCCTACAAAGTGAGGTTTCTTCTTGTAAATATTTAGTAGTAAGAGAAATAAATGTGGGAAAATGAAACAGTTCAACAGAAGGACCCCAAAACAAGTTTAAGTTTACAAAAATATATAATTCAGATTTTTATGAAAGTACTCTATTACTTCTTCTTAAGCTACTGTAGTTTCGAATTGTTATTTTACAAATTGCTTACCCATTAAATTAGACGTGCTTCAATTCAGACAGCAATAAATATTTTATAGTTTGTTAACCTGGTTAACAAAGTTGCAGAGTGGGCTTAAAGACTCACCTGTGTTCGCCATCCTCTTTGTTGGGTGAAGTTGAAAATATGAATGGCATTAGCAATTATATATAATGGAATAATAATGCACCTTCTGCATGCATTTGTTTGGTGGCACCTCATTGGCTCACCTACTGGTAAAAGGTGGATCTTAGCCCTCGAGACTTCACTGCTTAGCCAATCAAATCAAAGTCTTACTCATTTGTTTCCCAAGTAAAAGCTAGAGGAGGTGTTTAATGACTGTGCAAAAGCCTGGTTTACAGTGTATAGTTAGTGGCTTAAATATTTTTTACAAATGTTTTGTGCAAGTAAAAATTATGAGTGTGACATGCCTAAAGGATCAAAAGTAAACCAGTCTCAGTTCTTATAGTGCAGACACAATCGCATTATTAGAATGAAGTGAACCCAACCTTTAAGTGGAAACTAAAAAAAAAGAGGTTAACATATAGAGTTCCCATTTAAATGATTTTATTTTTTAAAAAGCACTCAGCAGTGTCTATCTAAAAAAATAACATTTACTTTACATTCTGTCTTTGATAGATTAAAAAAATATCACAGATCTACAGAGGTTAATTTGCCAGCAAATAAAACTGTGGTGGCTGCAAAAGAGCATAATAAATGATTTGTTAACATTATTCCTCAACTTTACAGTCATATTCACTCATATTTACACATTCCTTAAAGAAGGAGTTTAAATAATGTTTAAATTCTACAGTCACTGATTACACCACTACAGAACTGCATTTGTCCAGATCACAGTGTTCCACGTGTACTTTAGTAAGTCCATCAGTAGAGTCTCTCTTTCCCTTTCGAAACTTCTTATACTTCCCACAGATCAGAGCTGCTATTACAACCAGTAAAAGGAGAGCGACTCCTCCTCCTATGATCCAGGCCATCAGTGTGTGGTCAGAAGATTCAAGAAATTCATACCGCTTACATGAAAACTCTGAAGGATCGCTGCTTCCTGCTTTGTTCACTGCCAACACACACACTTTAGTTCCCACTTCCAAAGATCTGACCAAACCCCGCCGTGACGCATCCCCAAACTTTGGGACTTCACTGTCCCTTCCCTCGATGACTATTCTGTACTCAGATACCACTGAAGATGGAGCACACCACTGCACCTGTATTTTCCCTCTGTCACTCCCCTCACTGACTGGAACCAGCGCTCGGATACGTGGTGAGTGAGGACGCACATTAGCTCCACTCATCCCAGGGCAGAGGCACCCAGTTTGCTCTGAAAGTGTAACACAGGGAACCTGGTTCTCCGAGCAGGGGTCGTACTCGCAGAGCTGTTTTTTCTGGTGTATCTTTGGGACGTTCACCACCCTAGTAGGAGCTGTGGTGGTGTCGTATTCAATAAGGTCATAATCATCCTGGCCTTCTGAGCCCATGTCAGGCACGCGTATGATCTGTGGATGGGTGATGGGTGGGGAAGCAGACGCAGCATTGGTGAAGAAATGGGAATGCATGGGAGGCAAGACAAAAAAGAGAAGTGCCACCAGGTTCCTGCAAAGTGAGGTCATCTCTGTGAAAAGAAATGACAAGAATAAATATGGTCACTGGTCACTTTACAACCATAAATAGACTGATTGATGCAACCTAACCACAGCTTGTTCATTAACCTGTAATTTCCTTTAGTTATGATGAAGTAAATTACACAAGAAACGCACTGAAGCAACAGTCACTGTAGCAAAAAAAAGGAACTAGTTACCAGTGATGGGAATAACGGCGTTACAAGTAACAGCATTGCATTTTGAGTGGCACAAATAATTTGTGTGGCATCTTATTTAGTGCAGAACACCTGATTGTTATGTAAATAGTTTGAAATGGTTATTTTAAAAAAACTAAAACAAGGTAAAAGGTAAATGCAAATAACTGGTGTTTGCAAACCTTGTGCATAGGATTTTAAGACTGACAATTTATATTTGCATTTAAAGTTATGAAATATGATTCAATAAACATGTTTGTGGTTGTTACAGTAAAAAATATAACTTTTTCTACTCGATTGTATGTTTTTTTGTCTGACTTTAGATCAATTGTGTTAAAACAGTTTATCAAAATAAAAAAAATCCTGCAAATTCAGACACGTGAGGTTGTGCTGAAAAGAATGATACCAAACAAGGCAAAGTAAATAGTTTTTAAAGGTGAAAAAAAAAAGGCTAATTATACCCTGGACCCCAGAGGGTTAAACTTTTTAAGTAATGCAATAGTTACTTTTCCTAGTAATTGATTACTTTTAGAATCTTGCAACTCAGTTACTAACTCAGTTACTTTTTTGAAGAAATAACTTGTAACTATAATGAATTACTTTTTCAAAGTAACTTAACCCAACACTGCTAGTTACTGAATTTGGTTGAAATTTCCAATTAATAGTTCTGCAGTGGTGAAATAGTGAAACTTTAAGATTTGTTCTCCATTTTGGCACCTTAACACGTACTGTTAAGATGAACAGTAACTGTTAACATCTTAACTGTTAAAACAACTCCACGCTGTTTGATACAAAGACACATTTTTCTTTCAGTTCTCCTCTGCTCTTCGGTGTAATACTTTGGAGTTCAGATATAATCAGTCCCTCTCTTTTCAGAGAGCCATCAGGTGTGGAGAAAAGTAATGGAGGGAACATAAAAAAATAATTATTAATATTATTTTTTAGCTTTGAGACACTTAAGTTACCTTAGCAGTATGCTTGGTATTACTATCCCGTTGCAGGATGACTTGCGGTCTAGATAACAGGATAACAGATAGGTTTCTATGCACGTCAGAATTCATTGTGCAACTGCCCTCAGCAGTCATATCGTCAGAGGAGATAAGCTTGCTAGCACCTGTGGTAGCCATAACATCCTCACCACCATTTTTAAAAAACAAGCTTTAGATCTTGGGCAGTTCTTCTTTGCCTCCACACTTTGATCTCGCTCTTACTCTGATACAGCTTAATCTTGTTCTCGTCTGTCCATGACGCCTTATTTTTCAGAATTCTGCAGGCTCGTTTAAGTACTTTTTAGATTTAAACTGTAGTCTGGCCATCCTGTTTTTGTGGCCATCTAGTGGTTTGCATCTTGCTTCTGTATTCTGTTCATGAAGACTTCGAAGTCGCTGACAAACACAAACACATACCTGCCCCCAAAGATCTGTTTCTTTACCATAGTGAGGGTTCTTTTGTCCACAGCAGTGGTCTTCGTTGGGTTAATCGTCCCTTTGTGATTACAGAGCTGATGTCTTTAACTGTTTTATTCTTCTCATAATACCTTTAGCTTTTTCCTGTTGTTGAACAATAGCAACTACAGACTCTGTAGAAGCAAGTATAAGTAACGTATCCCTACGCTAATGGACCAATGTCCGACTTTGATAAGATAAGTGGAAGAGAATGGCTGGCTGGCTGGATGGATGGATGGATAAATGGATGGATGGAAAGAGTGGCACTGGCAAGCAGAGAAAAATGCATCCTTGTCCCAAACATTATGGAGGGTAATATATAAAAGAAGAGAAAGATAAAAGCGTTTTTTAAGTCTGGTAATACATAAAATAAAATTCTTTGGCTGGATTCGAGGCACCAGGATGCTGTTTGCCTTGGTTTACAGCTCATAAATGCTCTTGTGTACACTCAAACATCTGCAGTGTCCTGTCCTGTAAACACGGATAGATAAATAAATACTGAGTGCGGGAAGACAAGTACAACTACCCCATCAGCACTACCATTGTTACCTAGCAGAAAGCCAGGGGAGTTTTGTGGGAACCCAAAATGTAGAAAAAGCCGGCTGGCTTTCATTCTGGTCAGTTTACAAAATTATTCATAACAGTCAGAAAACATTTCTCATGCTGTTAAACAATAATACTTATGACTAAACCTCTAAAAATAAAACATGGAGCAAAGAAAATACTGAAATGGGTCTACAGTACCTGCTTAATGCTGATGGATGTGTCAAGTCTCAAGTCTGAAGTTCTTTGTTTCCACTGTGGCTGCTCTCACCGTGTGCTCCCGACTGTTCTCAGTCTTAAGCTGTTTCTCTCAGACTCTCTCCTCCTCCTCATCTACACCCCCACATCATTCTCTCCCTTCTGGGCCTCCCCCCACCTCCTCTTTTTACTCTTTTTTCACTTCTTCCCATTCGTTTTTCTTCCAACTGACCAGCAGTGCTCTTTTATTTTGTTAATCCGTGTCTGGAATTTGTGTTTGAATGTGCGTTAGGAGGGAGAGGGGGAGAGTCGCCATGTGTCTGTGTGCTGCTCAGCATATTAATTTGCTAAGTAACAGCGGGAGACAGGCTTGTGCTTGTTGCTCGGAGTGTTTTTCACAATCTGTAGGTGTAGCTGTCTGTTTTTCCATGTTATATGCAGGTGTTATTATGGAAGGGGACAGCACATAAGGTCACCTAACTACGTGTTTATTTGTGCTTCTCAGAGTCAGGAGGGGGGTGAGGAATGCTTGGGTGTATTTATTAAAGTTGTCCTGCATCTCTTGTAACCCCTCATTGTGAGACATTGGAGAGGAACGACGGAGGTTTGTTTTGTTTTTACCCTTTTATGGGATAAAGCTGGCAGAGTACACATTTTTTCTTTCTTGTTCCAAATGCCACTGTGGCACAGAATAGAGGAAAAGTACCAGCGCAGGAGCCTCCTTTTATCGTTAAAGATTCACTCAACTCATATCACTGACATCTCTGAATCCTTCATTTCAGAAACAATTCCTAAGATCTTTGGCCGTTTTTAGTCAGTAGAGTCACGCTGAGTGTCTTATACAACATTACAGTTCTTTGTTTGGGAGGATGATGATTGGCTTCTTTGTGTGTAAAACAAAAAGTATACAATGAGTTTAAAAAGCCATAACTGCCTTTGAATTTTCTTAGAATGATTATTTCGTTTAAATATGAGAAGATTTGAAGGCAAATCTGTTAAGGTTTTAGTGAGTATGAGTTTACATATGAGGGCAAAACGATTGAAGAAAGCTATAAATCTGTCCAGTTAAAAATACAATAGAAAAGAACCTAAACATGCAGTCATTCAAAGTGGAACAACATAGTTACTGGGCCAGGTTGCTTATAACTTTAACTCTCAAAAAGAAGAAGCTGAAGTTGGAGCTTTAAGAATACACAAAATAACATAATATGAATCCACACTGGGAAAAGGTATGCTGTGCACAAAAACTTAGATTTAGACCCGCATAACTCTAAAGGGTTGAAAGTGAGGTGTAGCCTTTCATCTTTCATAACATCTACAGTCTTTCTCCTAATTACCTTTAAAAATTCTTCACTATCACATTTAAGACCTTGACTCTCTATGTGCTTGTTAAAAAGGAGTCTAGCTGAGTCATCAGTTAGGAAATTCTGTAACACATTTTCAGAGAAGAGCAGAGGCGCTTCACAAGTGGTTGTGCCTGTTGTGGGAAATGAAACAGTGTTGCGCATCTTGGTTTTATTATCATGCAGAAGAAATATTGAATCCAAATGTTCTTTTCTCCCCAGCACAGCCTTGTTCAAAGGCTGCGATGAAGGATTAAAAAGCTGAATTGAAAAGCTCAGACTTTCAAACAGGTCAAGTGAAACAGATATGACTTCTCAGTTTAGACCTAATGAAGGTTCCCAGGAGTCGTCAGATATCGATTATTTCTGAAATGTCATCTATTCCACATCTTTGGTCACTTGATATGCGTGGTATTACCCTTAAGTAGTATCTCAGTGCTTACTGGATGAAGCAAACATTTGATGAACGCATTCACGTCCTCGGGATTAACTGTAATCATGTTAGTCATGTCAAAATGGAAAACTTTCCATTTCCGAGTACTTTAATTTTCGAATGAAGACCTGTGAAACGTTCCCTGCTGTCACAGCTGTATTTTAATGTTTATCCAAAGACATTTTAAGGGACAATCTTGATACTGGGAGAACTTCCGGTTCTTAATATCTTATTTGGGGAAAAAGTTAGCAAAGCTTTTCAGTGGTTACATGACTGCTGATCCTGGGGTTATTTAAGACACTGAAGAACTATTTCAGCGGTTCTTCAAAGCCAAGTGCTAAGACCTGGTTTTAAAATGACTTGATTTATTGCTCATTAGCAATAAATGCAGATTATGTCTCTGAACAAGGCAGCGTAGCTTTTCTCCTTGCACTCCTGTGTTTAGTCAGTCAACCAAGCATGAATATAACATGTATCATTTATGTGTCATAACTGAGTAGAAAATTCAGGAAGAGCTACTGTAAATTCAGTAGGAAAGAGCATATTTAGAAAGGTCTCCTTAAGTCGTCCCCCATATGTATATTCTGTCTTCACGTTGTTTTGGCTACGTGAAACCACCATTTCTTCCCCTGTCTGAACCCCCGTTTGCCACGTCAGAAATGGCTAAGTATCAACAGTTTCCCTGAAACTGTCTGGTACAGGTTTCTGTGGTTCATCAAGTTGAAGTCATTCATTTCAACATCCAGTCAATCCTTGAGGACAGTCCAGGATCTGTGATAACGATTCTTCTCTCATTACAGAAATATTCTCACATTTTCAGCACAGCAGTAAGTTTTTTCTTGCTTCATCCAGCTCAGCGTGGGCATTTTGCTCCATTGTTTTTTTTATTTTAAAATAAGCAAGATCGTGTTTTATGACATTAACAATAAAGAGAGCCAAAGAATTTCACTCTGCATGAACACAGTGTCAGATTAAAAGAAACATACAGAAACAGTGGCTTACAATAAAGATTTTTTCAAAGGTCTGCAAGCGACGACTCAGCCAACGATACATCTAGACAGACTCCAACACAGAGACCCTTCCATCAGCTTGTATGCTATTTGTGTGTGTGAGGTCACACTTGTGAGGGTAGGATTACGTCAGATAAAGAAGGAGCTCCTCTCTTCGTCAAATATGGAAAGCGGAATCGACAGAACAGAAATGGAAGCAAGTATCTGCTATTTTTAACAGGTTACAGCTGATCAGCCAATTTTTTTTTAAAGATTAAATTTATTGCCTGTTTTTTCATGTTCACTGTTAACTCTGGAACAACTACTTACAGGCAAAAAAGTATACAGCATAGAGTCAGTGACTGACTATGTTCAGTAAATCTTGTGATCGTTGGGAGGTGAGTAATTCCTGGATGAATGGCTTGACTTCCTTATTCAGCTTTTTCTCTCAGGTAAAACCAAGCAAACGCAGGTGGCTGAAGGAAAACTATGCACAGACTGAGCTGATAGCTGATATAGTCACTGTTTTGTCTTCACTGGTTTTTCTAACATGCCCTTATGTACTGATAAGGTCAGCAGTTTTGTTAAAGGTGGAGATCATCACTAAGGAGGCCAAGCTTTTTCTTTTTAAATTACTTTCTGCGGTCAGTTTTAGGCCAGACTGTTTTTTTTTGTTTTTTTTAAATTTTTCATAGAAACTGTGGTTCAGAGGTCCCTGAGGAATAAAGGAAGCCATAAAGATTGAGTCACATTACTTGAGATAATGAGTTGCCTGCCTGTGCACATTCCCCTTTCTTTCCCTCCTACATGTTTGATCACGTTGCTGTATGTGACACACAGCCATGACCACATAGACAACTCCATGGTTTAAACTTGTGGTGTAGTAGTGATTAAAAAAAATCCCTACTGATATGGAATTATTTTATTGATTATTTTCCTGAGTAAAACAACAATTATTCATTAAATAGGGAATCTCCTCTAACATATGTTTATTGAATCAAAATAACATCCCTTTAGTTTCCCATTCACGTATTCAGTTTCTGATTGATTTGGCGCGACTTAATCAAACTCATTCTCCAGTCCCTCTCCATACGTCTCTGAGGATTTAAGCTATTTCTGTTTAAACAGGAAGCACTGCTATTGGCTAAATCCCAATCACCTTTGACCTCCCACTTCACTCAAAAGGAATCTCGTGGTAGGGTTATTACCAGACTCTGTGATGTTGTGTGAACCGCTACTTTCAGCTTAAAATAGCCGTGGAACCAGAATGCAGTCCCAGTCAGCGTGAAGTCCCAGTGATCCTCCAGAGGATAATTGGGAACAGAAGTGTAATGTAGCAGTACTATGTGATGATGAGGTCCCACATTCCTAAATCTGGCCACAATAGAGTGAATTATAAATTTGAATTGGATTTGTTTTGTTTTATTGGCCTTTTAAATCACACAGAGAGCTTTATTTCTATTTTCTTTTTCCCTTTCCCTTTTTTTTCCTCTCTCTTAAAAAACTTGAATGTGTGTAAAATTTTACGCTCTATTTTTTTTTTTTTTTTACTTTCATGTAGGCTTATATGAACCTTTTAATTTTTTTCCCTCTGTAAATAACTTTTTTCAATTTTGAATGGTGCTATACAAATAAAAAAAATTAGTATTGTTATTAATTTGATTCCCCAATGAACTTACAATACCTATGCGTATTTTATTAACCCCTGGAGGGTCTTAAGGACATTTATTGTCTTTTGAATTTTTAGTTTTAAACCATTTTCACTGTGTTGAGTGGATTAAAGCCAAATTTGTCAAATAATTTTTTTTTTACTTTTTTTGTTTAATTATTTATGTGTCATGAACCGGATCAAATCTCAGACAAAATACAGACACCAGACAGACAGGGGGCTTAAATAAACAAGCATGTATTTTATTAAATTAAGCTCGTGGAATTGCTGACAGTAGAAAGCAGGTATATGATGAATGTATCTGAAGGAAAGGAAGTTTACCAAAAGCAAACAAAACCCAAACCAGCCACTCTTCTCCCCAGCAGATGAGAGCGTGCTGGAGAGAAGGGAAAGTATTTTAGCACAGAGCCCCTTTTAAAAGCCATTAGCCAAGTTCCAACAGGCATGTTTCCGATAAGACCTGTCAGCCACACCTGTTTCCTAAAACTGAGGTTACATTCTAAAAGTCCTTCGCGTTTTCTTCATCCTACCCGCCTTTCCTTGGCCTTGATAAAAATGTCAACAAGGTCAATATGTCATGAAGACTCAGATAAAGAGAAGAGTGATGCAATGAGAATCCAAACTAGTCTCCTTAACAATGTAATTCAAGATGCCTGCAGTGTCAAAACTACAATGAAATGCAAAACGAGCATCTTAATTCACAACATGTTGTTAACTTCTTGTTATATGCAGGTCATGTAAAAGACAACGGTTTTACCTTCAAAGGTCGGAATTTTAAAGAAGAAGAAACAAAGAGGGCCAGATTTAGAGTTTGTTGCAGCACAAAGCCTTCTTTTAGCATTAAAAGGCTACTGGATTTAAGATAGATAGGCCAGGTGAAAGCCTGTTGTGGTTCTGTCCTGCTAGCAGTGTTTTTTAATTTGAAATGAGAGGCGGAGATGTTATCAGAATCAGTAGGTGATTGGAACGTTGGATGGATGGCTGAAAGTTGAGTCAAGCCCAATTATGTCTGTTTCCCAATAATACTGGTACTTTCATGAAACAAACTAGAAACTAACTGAACCGGGCTCCCTTTTTCTCAGCAGTGCGCACACAATGAGTGATGTTTCTTTATTTAACTGTCAAATGCGGCTTTTGTTTTGTACTATGTGAACATGTATGATTAATGTCTGAATGCAAAACAAAAAAAACAGCATCAGTACTTTCACTAAGATCCAATCTGATGATAAATAATTACTGTTCTTTGTAATATTAATGATGATAACTTGCACTAACACAGCTCTCCTCTGGATGAATCCTGTTCTCCAGTCTCATTCCTCATGACCCCTCTCACAGTGCCCAGTAATTTCTATCAGAAGAGATATCCTTCCTATCTGAAATATTGTTTGATGTCGTTCAGACTCTTCTCATTGATCTGACTTACCTTGTTGTGGATTATTTTGGTTAGTAGACCTATATCACCCCCTCCCTCTTGCACACTCACTGGGTGAACTGCTAATTTGTGCTGCTCTTAGTAGAATACTCAGTATTGCTGAAATGAACTGACGATGTGATCTAGTCTACCTCATTTCCTCCTCTTTGTTTAAGATATCCATGATAACTAAAGTAAAAGAAGTGAAGTGAAATTACCCCCATCCATCACTCCCAGCTCAATCAAAGTAAAACCTAACCAATCATTATCCTAAAGGCAATAGACCTAAACAATAAAAAAAAATAATTATAAAGAACCTTGAACTCACCTTGATGAATTAATAGAACTCATAATCTAGATTTACAGCACTAATATAAATATGTGTTTGTGGAAAAAATTCATCCATCAGCAAGTTTGATGATCAGAGTTCAGCTATGCATATAACAACCTGTTGTTGAAAATGTAAACTATTGTGGTTCATGAATAATTGAAAGATTTATTTCAGTGATATATGGGACTACTTTGTCTCCTCTCATTTCATAAAAGATGCTCCCAGTGTGTAATGTGCTAAGGGATTTAATAAAGGAAGCAATGAAACGAGTCACTTCACAAACTTTTAATATTTTTGGACCATACCCGAAGAAGAGTTGCTCCAAACACGTTTCCTCTTTTTTTTCTTTGATTATTAAAGTCTTAATTGTTCTCAGAAAAGGGAAAGAGAACCTTTTTGGCCTTTTAATGATGCAAACTAATAAACTGCATATTTTCTTTGAACATATCAACAAATGTGTCACATGATGTGAAATCTCAACATAAAATGTGCTGATAATAGAGAATCCATAGCAATAAAGTTTAATAAGAACCATATAGATGTAAAATGTACATTTAAAAAATACCATTAAAGCAGGCAAAGAAAAAGCTGCACCTTACTCTTTATCAGGGGAACCTAAACATTATTATGTCCAGGATATTTGTGGCATATCATGGACATACAAATAACCTTTGTGATAATTTATCAAACACTGCACTCGATTTTAATGCGCATGAAACAATTATCTATTGTTCATCTCCATCAGTAGTACAAATGCTTGAATTTCTGCAGTCTTCCTATGATGTTATTAAGTCTTATTTAACTTTAGCTAGTGTTAAATGGATGCAAATCCAAGTATTTAGGTATCACTATAGAACAGAATGTGCAAATTAAAATTTACTTGGAAAGACCTGGGTCCCTGTTTCTTGGAATAATCTACAGAAGGAGCTGTAGTGATTACGACAGGGGAGACTTTAAGTTCATCTTATTGGAGCAATAGAATAGGTCTCTTGGTCAGTGTGACTATATTTTTAAAGCTGCTCTTGTAATGATCTGCATTACATATGTGGTTTGTGTTCATTAGTCTGTGCTGAATACCTGGATTGGAACTTTTAATCGCGATGAAACTTTTACCTGTATAATAAATTAATAAATGATAATAAATCAAGGATAGTAAAAATAGCAAACATGCTTTCGCTGTCATCATTACTACCAATAGAGCAGCTTGTTGATTCTGATAATCTGCCAGATGCTGCTATAAGAAATGTGAAAAGCACTTTTTTTCTTCTGCAGCCTGGCTCCTGTTTGCAAGTCTGTTGATCACACTGCGAGACACTTTATTCACTATTAAAAATGAAAGAATATAGAATGGAATGTAATTAAATAGAACAAAAAACATAACACTGGAAATGACACAGACTTATGATTGGTGGTATTTATTATATATTTTTCAGTGGCTGATTGACATACATATCCTTTAATATTTGCCAGGAGGTGCTGGGACACCCTCACATGCCTGATGAGGAGCAGAATTCTTGAAAATACCAGACTGTGAATCATGTAGTAGTGGCTGAGAGATTATTATCAAAACATCCCAAAACTACCAAAAGGCAATGTGGGAACCTCTCATTTACACTGTCTGGATAGTAGCCAACAGCATAAACATTTCTACCGATGGTTTCTGCTTTGAGACCTTTACACTGAGTTGTAGCTCCTCTTAGTGGTGAATGCTCATTATTAAATCTTTCTTCTTTTTCCCCACCTTTTCTTTTCCAATCACTTATGTTTGGAAAAATAAATATTTTTCTGCCACTAAAAAAAAAAAAGAAATGATAAAGGAAAATGAGATAAAATAAACATTTATAGTCATCTGTAAGTTATAAATTATTGGTTATTATCTCAAAATTTAAATGTACCAAGGTAAAAATTCTGAGAAAATAACCCAAAACTATAAAACAACTTGAAATTTAAATTGACATATTTCAGGGAAAAAAACATTTTAAGGTAGAAACACTATACAAACTACATTTTTTAAATACTTTTGTTTTTTTGATATAAACAACAAATTTTACAAAATTTAACCGACAGTTTACAGCTTACATATATAACTTATGTTTCCTTCTTTCTTTTTTATTTTAATAAGGGAGTAAAAATTCCTAGTTAGGTCCCACAATCACAAAGAAAGTTAAGGTCGTGATGTGGGAAGTGTTATAGCTCTAACGCTGCTGCTGGAACAAATATGAGACTTCATTATTACCAGTGTGAAAGCAGTAAGAGGGGGAAGAGAAGGCATCATTTCGACACTTTTTAATGTCCATGCACATTAATTTCATACACTACAAGAAGTTGTGTGGTACAAAGCTAAGAATCAGAGACTTGTTAGGTCTTTTTGAGCTATGCACTCTAAATTCACACGTGTAAAACATTTAAAAAGATGTCACACTGCTTCACTAGAAAAAAGCTAGAGCTCCTTTATAAACCTTGAGCAAACTAGTGATTGTTAAAATACCTCAGGAATATCAAGGATGTTGTCACATGTTTTATGAACTTCCAATATTTTCATGGTCTTACAGCATGACACAAAAGTTTATTTATTTATATGTATTTATTCATTAATATAAAATTCAGTGTACAGTCTGAAAAATACCAATATTTATTTTAATCTTCCTGTTTTCATAAATAAATATGAAACTCTCCTTTAGCATCATTTTCCTTCTTTCTTCGACCACTCGCTGTATGCACCAGCATAATTACGTGCACTGAAACAGAGAACAGAGACATAAAAGATGAAAACTGTCTTCATTACGTCAAGTAAATGCAGTAAAAAGCAGCACTTTTTCAATAATATGAAAAAAATGTCTTCATAAAAAAGAACTTGACTTTGTTTAATTAAAGGACACTTGGAGTTTTTGTTGGGCCTTGTGTATGCATGTATGTATGTATATATGTATATATGTGTATTTTGTTGTATAGGTAGTGACTTATTTACTTCACGTATCCTAGCTGATGAGCCTTGGTGGTAGCCATTGCCCCTCGCTTGCCAATCTGGCAGTGAAAAACCAGCTCTGGTGCATCCAGCAGTGGCTTTGTTACTCCGTACCTAACCTTGAATTCATCTGGATTCATTTTAAGAGCGCCCTCTACTGTATTAACTAGAGGAATGAAAAAAGAGACAAAGATAGAAAACATGAACAAGTACATAACTACCAGAACCTGATAAACCACATTCACCACAGCACACATGCAAAAGATCTGTGTGTGTGTGTGTGTATGTATATATATATATATATATATATGCGCAAAATGCTAAATAAAACAAACTTGACAGACGTGGAATATTAATGGATCCTGGAATATGTCCTTTTGCCACCTCCTCTTCACTGCGGACATCAATCAGAATGAGATTCGGGCTCTTTCCCACAAGAGCCTTCAATTCCTCATAGGAGATTTCCTTGGTACCTGAAAACATAGGAGGAAATACAAGAAACAGTATGATAACCTTTCATCAGATTAAATAAAACTACACCAATTACTCCTCAAATACAGGTTTCATGTGACAAATCATCCTGACACAAGAATGCATTATTGATGATCCTCGTCAAAGAAAACAAATTGCTGTTCATGTGAAGGGTCAGATGAAATATGACACCTGCTCTAACTGCCCAAAAAGGTCCATGCAAACACACTGACAAGGAAGGATGTACCAATGCTAACCGCACAGATATCAATGCTAACATGACATATGTAGAGCGTCATGTAGTGATCCAAACACTATCTTGGCTCTGTTGTTAGTGCTACAACAACCTGTACATCATAATTACATGTACATGCTCATGCTATTTTGTTAGGTACACCTGCTCAGCTGTTTATCCTCTGAAATACTTAATCAGCCAATGACATGGCAGCGTATTTGGAAAATAGAAGATTGCAGAAACATTGCCTGGTCTTAATTTCTGCTGCTACATTCGAATGGTAATGTAACAGCAGGTTGAATTTTTCTTTTTCTTTAAAGTTGTAAGAATATGCAGACCTAGTTTTTGTTATGTAAATTCGTAATTAATTTTATTTTTGGAAAGTGATTGGTTTATTAGCCTATGGACCCTCCCATTAATCAAGGGATTAAGAGCACCCTGGAGGGGTGTGGTAAAGATGTTTTTTGTTAGTCAAATGTCAGGAGGGTTTTTTAAAAAAAAGGTTTTTTTGACCACTTTTGAAGTTGTTAAAGCAATTTAAGTTAACTTTAATTTAATTTTAAGTTTTAAGAATTTATTTGGTTGATTTTTGTTAATAATTTTCCACGAAATAAATGCCATTTAATTTTAAACAATGAAATCAGAAGTGTGTTCTAAAACAAACCTCCCGTTGCCACCCACCTTTTCTTGGACTTTTTTGGTGTTTGGAACATAAAAGGCCGTGACATAAACAGAGTATTGAGTTCAGATATCAAAAGAAGAACACGCCAGACTAAGCTGCCACATATTGTAATTAGTTTCTCAATTTGGCTTCTAGTTCAAGCAGAAAAAAAACCCAAAAACCTTTAAAGACTCCCTAAAAGCAGAACTTGACATCAAACTCCACTTTCATAGTACATTCCTTACAGGCAGATTTTCCATAAAGGCAGGCGTACTTGCTTTTATCAGATCGTGTGAAGAGTGTTAGACTGTAAGATATGACTAAAGGTACACTGGACTGATGCAACAGGTTATGGTATGCAGATAATTATCAGTTTGTTGTTTGTTGCTCGAGTAACCGAGTACAATCCTCAAGGAGACTGGTGCCTCCACTTTAATCTCTTTACTGTTTGCTGAGTCATGCTACAATTTTTCCTTTCTGTAAATATTAGAAAGAGAAATACAGCCTATGGAAACAGTTCACCAAAGTGACCCCAAAGTGTATGAAAACATATAAATATTTTTTTTTATGAAAACACGGTAATACTTCTTAAGCTGGTGTAGTTTTGGGTTGTCACAATTAAAAATAGTCGTCTTTTACTCATTACGTTTGACGTGTTTCAGTTCATTCAACAAATTCAGACAGTAGCCTTCTATAGTTCACATACGTTAACCGTATCTGTAAGAGTGGGCTTAAAAAGACTCACCTGTGTTCGCCATACTGGTTGTTGGATAAAATTAGAAATATGAAAGTCATCGACAATCACAAACGGTATAACAATACTGGATCTTCTTCCTGATACATTTGTTTGGTGCTGTCTCATTGGCTCGCATACCGTTGAAGGGCGGGGCTTAGTCGGCGAGACTTCATCGCTTAGCCAAACAAATCAATTTGTCACTCTTCAAAGTAAAAGGAAGTAAAAGGTATTTAAATAAATGCATATGTTGAATATTTTTTCACAGAGTAAAGTATGTGGTTTAAATATTTTACGTTTAACTGTTTTGTGCGAGTAAAATTACGAGTGTGATATGCATAAAGGATCATATGCAGTGAGCACAAACCTTTTAATGGTCGCAAAAAAGATCAAGTTGACACAAACATAGTTCCTATTTAAACCATTTTATTACAAAAACAATCAATCAGTCTCCTAAAAATAATATTTACTTTACATTCTGTTTCTGATATATTAAAAAATAAACAATCTACAGAGGTTAATTTGCCGGCAAATAAAATCATGGTGACTGCAAAAGAGCACTATAAACTATTTGTTCTCGTTACGTTTTACATGTACATTGTTATAATCGTATTTACACGTTCTTTGAGGGAATTGAAATAACATTTAAATTCTACAGTCACTGATTACACCACTACAGAACTGCAGTGTTCAAACTGTACTTTAGTAAGTTCATCAGTAGAGTCTCTCTTTCCTTTTCGAAACTTCTCATATGTCCCACAGATCAGAGTCCCTATAACAACCAGTAAAGGGAGAGCGAATAAACCTCCTATAATCCAGGCCATCACTGTGAGGACAGGAGATTGACGACATTCATACCGCTTACATGAAAACTCTGAAGGATCGCTGCTTCCTGCGTTGTTCACTGCCACCACACACACTTTAGTTCCCACTTCCAAAGATCTGACCAAACCCCGCCGTGACGCATCCCCAAACTTTGGGACTTCACTGTCCCTTCCCTCGACGACTATTCTGTACTCAGATACCACTGAAGATGGAGCACAACACTGCACCTGTATTTCCCCTCTGTCACTCCCCGCACTGACTGGCACCAGCGCTTGGATACGTGGTGGATGAGGACGCACATTAGCTCCACTCATCCCAGGGCAGAGGCACCCAATTTGCTCTGAAAGTGCAACACAGGGAACCTGGTTCTCCGAGCAGGGGTCGTACTCACAGAGCAGAGGTTCTAGGTCCATCTTTGGGAAGGACACCATCCTAGGAGGAGCTGTGATTGTGTCATATTCCTCCTTATTAAAGTCATAATCATCCTGGCCTTCTGAGCCCATGTCAGTCATGTGTATGATCTGTGGACGAGTGATGGGTGGGGAAGCAGACGCAGCATTGGTGAAGAAATGGGAATGCATGGGAGGCAAGACAAGAAAGACAAGTGCCACCAGGTTCCTGCAAAATGAGGTCATCTCTGTGAAAAGAAATGAAAAGAATAAATATGGTCACTGGTCACTTTACAACTATAAACATACTGATTGATATATTTAAAATATTCCTGTCTAATATCTTTCAGAACTTGTTACTGAATTTGGTTGTAATTTCTGATTAATGAAAAAAGCAAAGAGGCTCTGCAGCGGTACCAAGGATGACAGTGAGACTCTGATTTGGCATTTCACTGTATCAAAAGAGAGAAAGACAAAAGTGTGGTGACACACAAAATAAAGTTCGTTGGCTGGATTCGAGGCACTGGGATGTAGTTTGCCTAAGTTTACAGCTCATGAATGCTCTTGAGTATACTCATACATCTGCAATGTCCAGTCCTGCAAACACATTTGTACTTGGAAGAAAGCCAAGGGACCAAAACAGACAAAAAGCTGACTGATTTTCAGTCTGGTCAGTTTATAAAATTAATTATAAAACTCAGAGAATATTTGTAATGCAGTTAATATTTATGACTAAACCTCTAAAAGTAAAACATGGAGCTATAAAGTAAAAAAAAGAAAATACTGAAATGGGTCTACAGTACCTGCTCAATGCTGGTGGGCGTCTCAAGTCTGAAGTACTTTGTTTCCACTATGGCTGCTCTCACTTGTGCTCTCAACTGTTCTCAGTCAAAGCTTTTTCTCTGGCTCTCTCCTCCTCATCTACACCCCTCATCATTCTCTGCCTTCATGGCCTCCCCCCACCCCCTCTTTTTACTCTTTTTTTCCCTTCCTGCACTACAATTTTCTTGTTTTTTAGCAAGCTTTCTAACTGGCCATCTGTGACCTTGCAGTTTGCACAGATTTTTTTAAGCTCAGATGTGTATTTATTAAAGACCCCTTCCACCTCTTGTAGCCCCCATTGTGAGATGCTGGAGAGAAATGAACGAGGCCTCATTTTGTTCTTATCCTTTAATGTGCTAAAGCGGACAAAGTACCTTTTATGTTTCACAACATTTTTAATCTTTAAGGACAAAAAAAATCTTAATTACTTTGCGAAGACCTTGACTTTATTAAAAAAGCTTTCAGCTGAGATATGCGTGGGGAAATGATACGCTTTCTGTAACTTTTGAAAAGAACTGAAGATCTTTTATCAGAAACAAGTGCTCAGAATTGGATGTGCCCAGTCAGGGAAATTGCAGGCTAAAATTCCTTCACTGTTACTTTCCAAAATACTATGTGTCAATACATTGCAGAACAGCAACACAACCTCTACTTCCACAGAGGTAGGTTATCATATTAATAGTGTTACATACTTATTGCATATGAAACTGGATACTGTGTTTCCTCTGAAAAAGAAAGCGTCAAATTTGTTATTTCACGCTTTCTTTTTCAAAGTCAAATAACAAGTGCTTGCCTACTTGGTATAACTCTCAAATGCACACCTTAAAGCTGATAAACTGTAAGCTGGAGAGAAAATAATGTCTCACTAATTTAGAAGGTCTTCATTTAGTATGGTAAAAAGAGTTTGTTGCTCTATGAAGAGCCCTCCATGAAGCTGGGACCATCTTACTGTTCATCACTGATTAAGAAAACAAGAACAACCCAAGGTTTCTCCTCAGTACTGGTTCCAGGCTGACCTACTTAAGTTTAAAGCCTTTCTTTAACCATAACATTTTATTTTTGACAGACTTTACACTTTGTTCTATTTGTGTGTACAGTTTTATACTCTATATTTCTACTCTCAGTATATTTTTCATTGTGAACCTTTACATCCTGTTCTGCAAAGCACATTTTTTCAATGCTGAAAAGTGCTATACAATAGAAACAGTGCTTGTAACAAATGTTTCTAGTTCTCAGTTCTTTGTTTAGTATTGTTCCCTTTCGCCTGTTTCTTCTTTGTGTGTCCTCCCCACGGTCCCTTGTGTGTAGTCAGTCATGTCTCTTTACCAATGTCCAGTTTGTGTGTCTTTGTCCATGTCTCTGTCTCAGAGTTAAGGCATCCTGTTTTATTCTGCTAGTCTCTCGTCTCATGTGCACCATGTTCAGTTTTCCTTGCCTCATTAGTTTGATATGAGTTATATTGTGTCATGTTTCTTTCCAGGTGTGTTCAAACTGCCTCTCATCCCCACAGCTGGCCTCTCTTGTGTATTTAAACCCTCAGAATAGAGGGTTGTGCCTGTGTTCTTTGTTGTGTCCTCCATCACAGTTGTGCCCTCTGTGCTCTGCATTTCTTTATGGACTCATAGGCTAGTTAGTTCCTTACCTGAGTTTATGTATCCCACTGAAAGGCTTGTGTCCAAGCTGAAACTTGCTTTCAGTTTTTTTTTCTAGGAAATAAATCTTATTTCTCTAACCAAGTAATGAAACATTCAACCCTGTAACATTCTTACTTTTATTGGATTATGGTTATCTTTATGAATGCACCAGGCCAGTATCTAAAGAGATTAGATACAAAAAATTTGGAAACAAATGCACTGTCCCAGTTTCCTGGAATAATGATCCGTCTGTGTTCACTTGTCTGTCTGCTGAATATCGGTTGAAGTTTTTTTTTCACTTGCATTTTTTGTAACTTATGCTGCTCTCTTGGCCAGGTCTTTTTTGAAAAAGATATTTTAACTGCTATCAGACTTTGTCCTAGATAAAGAAAGGATAATAAAAACAGCCAACATGCTTTCACTGTCACCATTAAGGCTGTAGCAGTATGTTGTTGATTCTGATAATCTGCTAGATTTTGTTATTTTTCAAGGATTGATGAGGACATCTACAAAGCAGTTTCGCATAGCCTTTATATTGTGCTGCTGGGTTCCTGGTTGCATGTCCGGTGACCTCACAGCTTCAGACACAACTGAACCTGAGTAACCTAAGAGCTAATTTACTACAATTTTAAAAAATAATGAAGGAAATGACATAAAAACCTATTATTTCTAGTATTAATTATTCATTTTCAGTATTTAATTGACATACAGGTCCTGTACAGTTGGCCAGGGGGTGCTGTGACACCCTCAGCACGAGTACTTCCCAGAGTCTTTGATGACATTGAGCAGAATGTTTTAGAATACCAGGCTACGAATAGAAATTTGGCACACTGGCAGTATAAATAGTGTGTAGATCACAATGTATATCAACACCACAGAACAGTGACTTAGAGGCTTATCAAAATATCTCAAAATTACCAAACATCAGTGAAGGATTTTCTAGTTTTCTCTTTCTGAGTGCAGCCAGTAGCATAAACATTTTATCTTTGCTGTTCAGTTGCATTATAAATAAACTTAATGACAAACCTACCAAGACTGTTTTCACTTGCCATCACAGTAGGAAAAGCGCAGATGTTACTGATCAGGTTAATCCTGAACATTAAGATCAGTCCCAAGTCCTCAAAGCTGAAGCAGGAATTAAACCATCAATCGTGATATTTTTTACACTTGCGGTTTCTGCTGTGATAGCAGACAACAAAACCTGTCTGTACATATGTTAAAATATCATGCAGTTTGTCTTCACAGCCACTGGAATTTATGCATCTGATCATGTAAAAGACTGACTGAGATTAAAATCTTTTCAATAAGAGACCTTCACACTGATTTGTAGCTCCACATAGTGGTGAATCCTCGTTATTGCTGCTTGCTGACCCTTCACCCCGTTAACACCATAGATGGTAAAGTTCTGCTGTCTTTTCCCCCCCCAATACCCTATACTAAAACCTTACTTATGCCACTGAAATAAATAAATCCATGAATTAAATAATAAAGATTTCTTGCCACCAACATATTAAAACTATACGTCTCAACTGAATAAGTCATTATGTCAAAATTGTGAGTTAGGTGTCTTAAATTATCAGCTTATTAACTCAAACGTGTGAGAAAATCTAAATTGAGAAAATATCTTAAAATTTCGAGTTAGTAAATCGATTTTTTTTTTTTAGATTTTAATCCCGTATTTTGATTTTTTGGATGATATTTTTTTCCTTTCTCCATATCCATACAATCCAGAGAGTTAGTAAGCAGATAACGTGCCTGACGTCTGCCACAATGATGTAAAAACATTTTTAATCTAAAAATTCAATTGATAGTTTAGAGCTATTTACAACTTTAATAAAGCTATTTTTTAAAATTATAATTAATATTATTAATTTTAGATATTAGGTCACTTAATCAAACGAACAAGACTTGTTACAAAAATTAAATTTAAAATTTGCAAAAATTACAAAAGTAGATATATCTCTTGATGTGTCGATATAATACACAGTATGTTATATTATGTTATACTAGATTAGATTAGATTATAGAGGAAAATGCGCTGAAACGGATGTTTGCATTAGCCACAGGATGTTGTTACTAATCCGACACAAGAGAGGAAAAGCAAGCCACACTCGGGTTTTTCCGCGAAAAGCCACGAAGTGCAAACTCGTTCTACTGTAACTGTACTGAAGCTCCACCATTGGCTCCAACTGTCCGTCCGCCGGGGAAAGGAGGCGGTGGAGGAGGAGGGGTGTGTGGATTTGCTGAATGACGGCTCGGTGTGTGTTGACACTTGAGAACCGCTACAGCCTACGGGACATGCACAGGCCTACCTACGTTACATGTCCACCTTGTAAAGATAAGAAGAAGCGTCTAATTCTTGCATTTAACATCGGGAAATGTTGATGATAGTGCGGGAACTGCGCGACGGGGCTACACGGAGTCGAGGCGGAGCGGACGTTTTCGCAGGTTGATGATCCTCTTTCGGCACCGAGGAGAAGAGCCAACACAAGTAAATACATGGTGTTAGTCTTTATAGGCGGTTAGGCAGGCTTGCATTAAAAGGAAGGATAGGCGGTGCGAGCTAATTCCTGGAAATATAGACCTCCGGCCAGAATGACACACGCTATGTTTGCAGGTTGGAGTTTATTCGCTGAAGTTGGGGCTGCGAGCAGCGTGTAGGAAGCTTGTGTGCCAGGAAAAACACCATCCGTCTTTCACGTTTGACAGATAACCAATCAAAGCTGTTATTCAAATCGGTGCTCTTATGTCAGCGACCTATATCTCATGCATGTGCGCCAAAAGCCCACAGTAGCCTCTCCGCCAGACCAGACAGCATGGGGACCAACGGGCTAGACAACCAAGCGCAGCCGTCCGACGGAGAGTCACGGACGGAACAGCCGGCTCCAGGTCCTCAGATGGAGCAGAGGGATGCCCCTCAAGACCTAGACACGAGAAAGCATGACCAGGCGGACGGCAGCGAAGGTAAAATCGTGAAGGAGGACAGCAATACGCAGCTGATCGAGACCGGCTGCAAGCCACCCCTCACGCCGGGTTCCGACTTCGAGGCTAGGGTGCAGGTAGAGAAGCCCGGCCACGGAGCTGGCTTCGTCCCACCCGAAGGTGGTTTCGCTGGCTGGCTGGTGGTTTTTGCTGCAACCTGGTGCAACGGGTCAATCTTCGGAATTCACAACTCCTTCGGGATTCTGCACATGATGCTGGTGAAGGAGCACACAGACCCTGCAGACCAAACATCCCAGTTCAAAGTGGGTGAGTAAGTACTATCTGAGCAGTATCTCTCTGCTCAGGTGGGCTGGAGCTGAAGCCACAAGTGAGCTGGTGGACAGGAGTAGAGAATCTTGATGCACATTTGGTTTATAATTATAGGAATTTTTTTTAAAAGTGGAAATTAGAGCTGTGGAAGTGTCATTTAAAGCACAATTACTATAATAAACATTTTAACATCAACTTTATATTAATTTACAGGATGTTTATTTTAATATGTATATCACTTTAGAAAAAAGTGGAATAACTTAAATTCCCAGTGGAACACTAAACACAGCAATGAATAAAACAAGTGCCCCACCAGCACGTGTAAAGTATGCTCATTGCTGCATTCTTATTTTTGAATGATTATTTTCTTCTCTTACTCTGAAATTGCTCCTTACATCCTGTTGAAATCTCTAGTTTTCCAAAGCACCAGCATTCTAATGAGTTACAGGCACTTAACTGAAAAAGCACCGTAGGCACTTGTTAACTATTCATTAAGGCTGTTCTGTTTATCCACAACACAGTTTGCTACAGTGGGTCCTTTGATAAAGGTTTCCTTAATGATATAGTGAGCACAAAGGACTGAATATTTGTGAACATTTGCACCGATACTGAGCCGATATTGGAGTGCTGTTTTTTTCTTGTTATATTTTCCCCTCTTGGTTCCCAACAAGCAAACAAAGACAAAAAATTTAAGCTATTTACCACAATATCGTTGAACATTTGGCCAGAACAAAGCTGTTTTGTTAAATATCAGCCAGGGTGGTAGTAGACAGATAATTGCAGTTAGCGAGGCCGATATTGGTCCATACGAATGTCTGACCCATGCATTGCTGGACCAGTATGGACAGACTTGTTAGAGTCCCCAAGATGCACATGACTAATGATTAAAAATCCTGCAATAGATATGTAAATCAGGGATATTGCTTCTGCTTGTAGTATTTAATACAATCTAACAGGTAGTTATTATTAGAGTCACATCATTACCCTACCCACTTCTCCCATTTCAACCATTCTGTTTAGGATCATAAGCTTTCATTACTAAATGGTCAGACTATTTCTCTATCCTTATTTACTGATTGCACTCAGCACCCTGCAACGGGAAAGGCACTATACAAAGCAGTCAAGGATATCAGTCTTAATAAAGAAATCACTGATGTTCATTTACAGGAATGTGACAGTTCAGTCTTGTTGTTGCAGATAAATTAGTCCCCAGAAACAATGGGCCTGGTGCTACTCCAATTGTTTGCAGGAATCTGACATTTTCATGTGCCTGCAAGTCCAGTAGAAACATTTCTATTCTTCAATGAGTTCACAAAGTCAGCGTCCAATTTGTTGCTAATGAAGCTCTGGCCTTCTGGGTAACCGTGGCTTCTAGCTTTGTGCTTGTTAATCTTGTTAACAAATACTGACTAAAGGAGTAATCACGGGAATTCTTGTTTGGGGGGAGAAGAAAGGGACCCTCCTGCCTTTCTTTCTCCTCCTCCCCTTCCTCATTGTGAAAACCGTGAAAGCTGCTTCTGCAGTGTACTGATCCATACAGAGAAATGTTTTGAGCTCGGGAATCATGTAACAGGAGTGGATGTTTTTCTTAAAATCCTCGTCAGTTCCCGCAATCACATGCAAAAGTTAAGGTCACAATGTGGGAAGGGATTATGGCACTAATGCTGTTTGCTGGAACAAATGTGAACCTTTATTATTATTATTATCAGTATAAAAGCAATAAGGGGGGGGGGGGTATAGGAAAGACATCTTATTTATTAAAAGAAGCTGATGGAATTTTATACAGGATGTTTATATTCTCTCTTCCCCATTTTTTGACATATTTAGGATTTCATCTCCAGCATTTTCTTGGATTTAATTCTGGGTTGAGCTCATATGTGAACAGATTAAGTGAGTAGGCTGAGACCTGACCTTTTTACCTCAGCAGCAGGAAAAAAGCACAGGGGAAGAGCTTAGCTACAATAGCTATGATCTTAAAGGCTTCTTTTGAGATATCCGGTCTAAATTCACACGTGTACAACATTTTAAAAGATGTCAGACTGCTCAATAGAAAAAAAAGCAAAGGACCATAAGGGATAACAAAAGGCTGGATATAATGAAATCATACTTAGAGATCACCATTAGGCCTTGCTGAGGTCGTTTATAAACATCGAGGAGTAAACAAGTGAGTTTCAGAATACCGTAGCAGTATCGAAGTAGGGGTTGAGAACAGTAGGTTCTTTAAATTTTTAATGACGGCGAGGTGTGTGTGGGTTATGAGTCACATATGGTAATGATTTGCTCCGTGATTAACATGACACCTTTACTCATTTTTTTCCCAGTTGTTACCACAAAAATGTTGGTAAACTTGTAAAGTGAGTGCACGTGCCCGGCACACCTTTCTTTTGAAAATGGAAGGGGGGGGGTGCTTTCATAATCAGCGAGGGGTGAGCCCCCAGTCAGGTGGTGTGCGAATGAACGTGGCTGCACCGAATGTGGGAGGAAAGTTCAAAATGCAGCCGGCACTGTTTCAGCTGCAGCAAAGTTGGCAAAGAGGGAATGTGTGTGAAGGGGCAGAAGAAAGGGACTGAGTGAGGAAGGAATTAATTTTTCATTGAAGCCTAAAACTATTTCCATCTATGTGCCACCGTGAAACGGAGCAGGAGGAAAATTGTGATGAGAAAAAAAGTAGCTCATCAAGTTCTACTTGTTTCTAAGCTAAAGTTGGTTTACTTACTGAGCGTTATGCACTTTATTCTCTCACAAGAATACTTAATGACTCTGTAGTAACTATACCAGTAGGCTATGGTATCTGTGCGAATGTGAGAAAACATCTGATGATTCCAGCTGCAGAAGCCTGTTGGCTTTAGTCACCGACATTACATCAAATCCCGCTAGCTTGAATGTGCTGTGCTTCACAAATCTACAAATCAACAGAGAGAAATGCAGTGAAATGATTCTTGGGGACTTAAACATCGCCTGGATTTCTTCATCATGCACTCTTAAAGAAAGATGACAAAGAATGCGAGTGATTTAACTCAGATATTTATCATTCCTACCACAGTAAGCTCTGGCATGTCTAGACTCATGTCTGCCTCATGCACTGACCACATCTACACTAATGGCACAATAATGGATCTAGTAAGTATAATATAATAGCAATGACCAGAATCATTAGGTCACAGATTCTGCTTCAAAGACTTATGATGTAAAAAATTCACAGGGGAAAAGAACACACCGAGTGAAAGATTCAGAAATTACATTACGCTTGTTCTTGGATATCTTACAGACTGTTCTAGACAAGCATGCACCGATAAGAAAACTCACTAACCTATTGTGAGCAGTGCTTTAGCCCTGTGGCTTGATGTGGAGCTGAACTAAATGAAGCATGCTGCAATAAAACTGAGAGAGAATAACAGAATAAACCACCTCATTTTTAGAAACTAAATCTGGAAAGATTGAAAACACAAGCTCAGTTAACTAAAGCATGATAGGAGTGTATTATAGAATAGTTTTACTGACATGTTAGGCACATATATCTTTGTTCATTGAGTCTAATTGTGTCAAAACCCACTATGTATGTAAATAAATAAATATGTAAATAAACTGTTTTTTAAACAAATGGAAATCAATAAAAGCCACGATGCGAATAACTTGGATAGCAAACTTTTTGTTGAACCAACTGAAGAATTTATCAAGAATTGTATATGATTTTTAGGCTTTACTTGAAAGCAATACAAATAGAGGAGGTTAAAACTTGTTTCTCTGCACAAATGGGCTACATAACCTTGATGGTAAATGAATAAGGATATAGGCGATTGCACTTTTGAACTGTTGTCATATTATTAACTTTAGTCTGAAAGAAACAATTTCCTCTCAAAGCCAACGGTTTTAGCCTTTATAGCAGGTAACTGTTATTCTTCTATCACTGGCCTTGACGGCAGCTCAAAATCTTTTTATCTTAGCATAGAAAACTGATGCCTCGTTACATTAACCGCTAGATGTAAAATGAAAAATGGTGACGCTTTCTTGCTTGACGTCAGTGCTGATTTCAATATAAGGAACATTGAACTATAACTGAAGTACCTTAAAGCTTATATTTTCAGTGTAGATGCTGGTGGCTAAGTTACGGTTATTCCGCTAAGCCTGCAGACACAAAGGGATCGAGACCGGTCGGCAATCCCCAGAAACCTCTGGTTGCTAGGGAAAATTTGTGTTCCTCTAAGTTTTTGGAAGTGACATTTGTTGAAACTGATTGAATTGGGAGCTGCATTAGAAAATTCCTTACATTCGCTTTGGTTGCTAGCAGATTGCTGGTCCCTCCTAATTTTCATGGAAGAGACTGACAGTGTGTAAAACACTCGCTAACTACTAGCCTAGCAGTATTACAACTTAAAAAAATACAACCAAAAAACAGAAATGGAGCGGATTCACCTTCAAAGTTCAAAGTGTGGTTTGATCCTTTCAGGATCCAGTCAGGAAATGTTTGCTTTAGTGGCAGAACCACACTTCCTTATGTTGCAGTGCTTACAGACAAGTTGGTGTCTTGTCTGGATACGACTTCAGGGCAGGTCCAGCTTTTAGGTGTCAGTCTGGATAAACAGCTTACCTGGTCCTGTCACACTGATAGGATTGAAGCCAAAATGAGTGGCGCAGTATCTGTGCTAATTATGCGGTAGGTAGCTCAGTCAGACAGATCAAACAATTACTGGGTTTATCTCATCTTGACTATTGATCAGCTGTTTGCGTAGAACAAGGTTATGTGTTTAGCAATTTGTTGTTTATCCAGGGTAAGTGTAGAGGGCCTGCTGTTGGATGAAAGTAGGGGACACACTTTAGTTCTCTTTCATTACATTTCAGCTGTTGCTACACCGGTTGTTATTATTAATAAGAACTGCTAATATCGAGCCCCAAAAAAGCTTAAAAAGTTGATTCCTTTTTACTAGTCAAAAATTAATTGCCCTGTCACCTGTAGTCTAATTTATTTCTAGATTTCTCTTAATTTAAGTGATTTCTTG